GGATAATGTACCCAATGGAACAAATTCAGTTTACTATTTGATTTCACAGGTACTTAATCATACAAAACKATGCCTAGTTGGCACAGTGATAGATGAACTAGGGACAGATTAGATTTGTTARTGCTGACATTAAGATCAGCACTGTCTAGTGTGATTCCTGCTCTCCTCACACTCTTGGATGTAGGAGGTGTGATCTCTCATTCTTCAGCAGTGGGGGGATGTGAAATTAGGAACCCCAGAAGCTGACACTGAATGGTGRGAGTGTTGCTTGGTCAAAATGTGTCATTACCATGTCTGTCATCTTTGTTGATAGAGAGCCATTTATGTTACCCAAGAGGAAACCAGTGTGCATGGAAAACCTGAGAGGACTAATACAGATCTCATGGCTTTCCATGTTGCTAAATGCAAATTGTGGGAAAGACAGTAAAAGCTTTGAAAACTCCTTCATGACCTGGTGGCTGGAAAGAAGGGCTGGTCAATGTGCAATAGGACAGCTTGTTTAGAAGTTGTGACAGAAAAAAGGATCAGGAATGCAGGAACTATTTTGAACTTCAAACAGAACCACAGCTAGCCATACCTGAGACACTTCCCTTGAGCTGGAAGAGAATAAGACAAGCTACACAGTAGAGGTGCAAATTAGTCTCCTGTTTTCTAGTGGATGAGACATCTTAAAAACTCAAGGTGAAAGATAATAGGGCGACTAGAAAAGAACCTGTTGTTAAATATGCCCTAGAATTACATTTTAAGTTTAAATTATTCCCAGTCATTCTCATTTTCCAGCCTTGTAATTAGAAGCTTGACCTTATGCCTGGCTGGAATGAACCTCTAATTTGATTAATGTTTGCACCTGACTGGTGTTGATGACAAGGCGAGGTGGAGCTAATAAACACAAGAGTGGTTTGTGAGCTAATCCAAATGCATCCATATTAAGGGGCATGAAGAAGGGGTTTCTGGAGAAATGGCTCCCCAAGGTATTTAGAAAGGCTCAGTATATAGAGTGTGCTGTTCTGCAGATACAAAAATTAATGGTGGGTGGGGGAATGTGAGGTGGGGACAAGAGTTTTCAGGTGTTTGATTGCAGAAAGCAGCCTGCTCTGGCAGACACAGACCAAATCTTTCAGCAAGGAACAGAGGGCTGAAACACAGGTCACAGTTGCAGGAAGCACTCAGACTGCTCCTTAACAACCCTGCATTTGAATTCACACTGCCAGCATCTCCAGACTGTCCAAAATGTGGGATTTTCACTTTGCAGAGGCTTCCCCTTTTGGTTTGGTTTTCATTTAATTTTCATCAGTATCATGCAAACCCAGAAACACTTTTTTTTTTCTCCTGCAAACTGGACATCCRAGGAAAGCTTCACTTTAGAATATACCAATATACAATATACTCTAAACAAAATAACCTTCCTGATGTGGCAGTAGCTGTGTCAGGCAGGCAGACTTGTCTGTCTCAARACAGCTAACCATACTTCAAGCATCATAAAATCCTGAAGTCTTGTTCCCATGGTGCTTTGACAGGAATCAAAGCACTTTTCTATGGGAATTCTGCCTTCCATGTGACAACAGTTTGTTGAAAAGCAACTCACTATTGTAGGATCAATCCCYCTTGAAAACATTTGTTCTCCTGCCATGCACAGTTCATCCCAGTCAGGTCTGTGACCTGTGGGGTGGGGAGTCCATTGCTCACTCAGCCTTGGAAGGGCACATTTYATGGAATGAAAGATGAAGATTTATTTGGTGAAACTGCCTGTAAGTGCAAATAATTTAGTGCTATGTTAAAACAGTGATTAATTTAGCCCATAATTTCAAGAAATGAAGCAACACTCGCTGACATAGCCTCAGAAGCTATTAATTTATAGCAGCCCTCCCAGTTAGCAGCCTAGAGAGCTAAGAACATCCTGAGTTCTGTTAATATCTTCACTGGCCTCTGCACTGAGCATCAAGGTCTCTTGGTATATTCTCCTGTGAGCTGTAAACAGAKATTTTAAGGACAGACTCTCCTGTGGTCTGATCTGTTTCACGTGTCACTCTTCAGAAAGGTTACTGACACTTAAATATCTCGCTGAAACACAAGTCTTCCCTTACCTCATCATTACAGTGACAGAATCCCTTGTCGTGGGCTCATTCATTTCCTCTGTGGTGCTGTCTTTTCCCTGAATTTTCCTGCTACATTGTGATAATAATGATCAACTTCCATAACYGATATAATCTGCATACACAAAGACTTCCCTGCTGGCTTTCCATCACCCACCACATCTCATTTCAAGCTCCCCTTTTAACCTCTGTGTCCTCCGTGACTATGTACCTTACTTCACCTGTTGTTTCMCCTCTTATGCACTCCACCCCTCCCWTGTTCCTGTTGCATCTCACCAAGCCAGAGGGTTCCAGCGGGCCGCTCTCTGTAGTATCAACTACGCCTGAATTACATTTTTATCCTTTTCTCACCTCTCTTTGCCACTGCTTCAGCAGTATGAGGAGGTCAGTACCCACAAAGCTGCATCAGAGTGAGAATCCAGCATTGCCTGTGCCTTTCTCTTAAGACTTTCAAAATAAGGATTGCTATTACTACAATATTTGCATGAAGGAGGGTAATGGCCTAGCTATCTAACCAGGCACACTTGAGCCTCCAGCATGATCAAACCTCCCCCTTTTTATTTTCCTGCTTCTTTTCTTTTCAGTTAGCAATGCAGTCCCTTCATGTTGCTTTTGGACAAAGCATCAGTCCCAATACAAGACTGATGTAGAAGTATCCAAAAAGCTTTCAGCCTTCCTGGCACCATGCGATTAGGAGCATTTGGACCCTTAAGCATTATCCAAGGTCAAGTCTTTAAGTATGTAGCTAGAGTTAATTGTTGTTAATTATTTCTGTAAGTGAGTGGGAAAATCTGTGAAAAYTGAAGATGAAAAAACCCCACCCAACTTCCAGATCTTGTTGTTTTAAAGACTCTGCATTGCATTTCTRTTGCAGATAACTGTGTCTTATTTAAAGGCAATACATGATGGYTGAAGATGAAAGGAAACATGAGGTTTCTACTCTGAAAAGTGCTCAATTTTCTTCTCAAGTACCTGTGTGTTGAGCCTACATGGTTAATCTGACCAGTTAGGGAAAAATGAGCGGGTCACAGTAATTAAGCACTGGTGACCATTCRGTTCCTTCAGTAAACCTAAATGTGGAAATTTTGAGAACCGCAGGATGATCAGAAGCTTTTGCCGTTCGTCACTGCCTACAGCCGGGCTACTCGATGTGCTCGGAAGGCTCCTGCACATCACCCGCACGCCAGCCTGTGCCCTGAGCAGCGAGCCGCGCTRGAGCCGAGCGTGTGCCCCGCCACCCGCACCTGCAGGAGCCGGCTCCGGGGAAGAGCTGCAGCCGCGGCTCAAGGGCTCTTTCCCCAATACGTCACTGCRCCGGCTGTGGCCGTGCCAAAGTTGCGCTCCGCTCTGCGCCCTGCAGCGGGAGCGCCGGCCGGGCTGTGGAGGGGCCGCGGGGGACCTCCGCTCGGGGCTGGCACCCACGCCGGGGACTGCTGGGGATCCCGCCCGGAGCTGGAACCCACGCCGGGAACTCCCGCTCGGGGTTGGGGTGCCTTGCCCCGGTGCCTGCCCCACAACCCGCTGCTGCGGCACGGAGCGATCGCCCCCCCGGGCCCGGGGCAGCGCTGGCTCGGACGCGCGGGKTCGGCACCGTGAGAGGCTGGCACGGTGCGCATCCCCCTCCTCGCCCCGCTCCTGAGGGAGCCGCGGCGTCGCGCCCACCTCCTCCCGAGGACAGGCCCCGCCCTCCCCGGGAAAGGGGATGACATCATCCCTTTTCTCCCGCTCGCCCCGCCGCTCCCGCGGCCCGCCCGCCACTCGGGCAGGGATGAAGGGGTCCCTCCCGCACCCCCCTGGCGGAGCCGCGCCCTCAGGGGGCTCGGAGGGGGCTCCCTGCGCCGCCGCCCGGCCTCGCCCCTGCCCCACGCCCCACTACGTCATCCCTCCCRCCGCCCCCTCTCCGCCGGTGCTGGCGGGGGAGCGTCCCCCGAGGGAAGCGCCGGGGCCGGGCAGAGGCTT